TAACAAGCTCAAACTGTCCAGGAACATCCGAACGGACAGACGAATACACCACGTGGAGTGGTAAGGTTAGTCACAGACCGGCTGATCGGTGACTGAATAACTCGTATGGGCACAAAGTTTACGTCTCAAGACAAACGCCAACATCAGAAGGATATCGAGAAGACTCACTTGGCTCATCGGATTGAAGCTGAAGCACTCCTGCTGTAGCGACGTTGACAATGTGACACAGTAGCACAAGTTGAATGAGAGGACTGTCTCTACCGCCGCCACCACAAGCCGCCACGCCCCCTTTAAACCCTTCTTCTTCTTTCCAATTTCTTCTCGCTTCTCCTTCTCCTCTACAATACAAGATTGCCAACCTCGATCATTATGTCATCCTGGTGTGATTTTGGACAAAAAAAAAATAAATAACAAAAACCTGCATCCTTTTAGATTGAAAGACAATCTCTTTATTATGAAGTCCATCCGAATTTTAGTCACCCATCTCTGTGGTTATGATTGATAACAGTTGGCAACAAAGTTACTTGGAACAAAGCAGACGGATGTCTTGTTCAGTCAGTTCTATCAGTGGTTTGAACTATCGGTACAGTCTTCTGCATCCAAAAGACTGTAACTGAAAGTGTAAATGTGATATTTTTGTCGAGTGGTTCGGGGCACGGCCAGCGTTCTCCGAACACCGGCCGTGCAGTATTTTTCCTTTCTCATGGCCGTCTTGTCCCGCCGTTCATTTAAATCGTCCCCCTCTTTTCTGTTCTTAGATTGTACATTCGGATTCAGGTCCGCTTTCCGGTCATTGAACCTATTGCAGTCTAACCAACGTGTCATTTGCACTTGGGCCCATTAATGACTTTATTTAACGATTTACATGTATTATTTTGGCCTTGCAATGATTTTACATTGGTCAAACACCTTTATTTGAGTTCTCATCTCGTCACATTGCCGTCCGGATCATTGCCAATTGTGAAAGCTCTAGTCCATTTTCTTTTGTTTTCCGATGTTGGCAGCTTCAGGTATCTGCAGTTTTGGGCCACCCCTGATCGTCGACATAAGGTCTCAGAGTTATAGCTTCAGCTTTAGTTATAGCTAGGTACTCGACCAATGAATAACAAGTGTAATTGAAGTTTAATACTTTAACTTTTATTGTTATGGTACATTTTTGGCTGCCCTTTGCATATTTTTACACTGACACTCAGCAAAAAAAATAAAAATACACAATTCTCGGATCACACTCATGATGTGCAATCAATGTTAAAATTCATATACAGCTGACATCAAAAGCTGATCCATTTTGACTAGTATTACTTGTCAAATTAAAACGAAAAGATCAGAAATGGATAAAGCAAGACTTAAAATCTATAGGTGGTTGTCATAGGAATGTCAAGTGGGATAAAAATATTGCCGACTATGGAAACATGAAATGCTTAAGACATTTGAGGCGAGATATAAACTATATGATCTTTTGCTTTATGCCCTTATCCATCGAAAGTTAAATTGGAGGAACCAAGATTCTTAAACGGAACGACAGCAGTCAACATTTATTTTAAGTTTCAGATAAATAATTTGTAGTGAATACAGCAGATAAGGAGGATGAACAAAAGGGCATCATGTCTTTGGGTTTATGCAGCAAAAATTAGGTATAAATAAGCTATAGAGAACAATTCTTCTGAAAATTGTATGAAAAAGGACCAATCAATTAGACTTTCAATGAAGGAAAAAAAAACTTTAACAAAAAAATTCTTCAAGACAAAAACAACAAATTGGAAGAGCAGATATTAAAAACAGAAACATTGTAAAAGCAAAGCTCTTAATTACATTTTAAACAATCAACAATAACAAATATAGTAAATCTTACCTTACAGTACAATCATGAAAGGTCCCAGAGGCAAAAAGGGGCAGACGTTTTCATTGAAGAAAATTTGCCATTGATACTCCAGTGATAAGCATCAACAAAACAAATCAATTTCAGCTGATTGGTATAGTTCTAAGCCTGTTGTTTTGATAAAGGAGCAATATTATGAATAGTGAACACCCTGATACCATGCTAGGGCTAGGCCTACTTTATCTCATTACAACCGCACGTTATATTGAAAAGTACAAAAGAAGTTTTCTACTCAGTACACATACTGTGTGGGAAAGTGAGGCGCCAGTCTTCGGGTGGCTCAAAAAAGGTGGTAACAATGTACAAGGTAAGGGTAAGATTTGACCAGCCTTTCAGTATGGCCTCTGATCCCCTTCACAGTAATCACATCCGAAATTGAGAGCAGAACACTCTGCTCATGCCTAAAGATTTTAAAACTAAATAAACATACTGTACACAATTTACATGGGAGAAAATCACAATTAATATTATCTAATATCACCAATTGAATATGCCAGGTGGAAAAGTTAAATAATGGCCTGGTCTCCATCTGATAACATTTAAAAGATGAAAAACAAAGTGAGCCCTAAAATACTATGGCATGACTATAGTACTTACATAATACTCACTACGAAAAAGGGGCCACAAATCAATATTGTTCTAAGGTAATCGATCCATGAAAAGTCCAACCCATTCAACATTGTGACCGGCTGACTCAAAACAATGAAACTTCCTGCTCCCACCCTATGCCCTAAACTTCGGGAAACAGAATGAGACCCGTTAAGATATGACGTCGTATCACATTTCTCACTCATTCGGCCCGTCACACCCCGTTGGTGAGGTGCACGGCGGGCGTTGGGGCCGAGCCAGGCGGCTGAAGCAGGTCTCGGTACTGCAGCAGGGCCTCCCTCAGAGAGCGAGACACCTGCGTCGAGGCCGTGGTCGTGCAGTTGACGAGGTGCGGATAGAGGCCGATGAGCTGTTCCCAGGACAGCCGGTCCACCTTGCCCGGGTGGGCCTTTTTGAGGGACATGACGAGGGTGGCCACGGCCTTGAGCACGAAGGATATCTCGGACAGGCGGTACCGGGGCAGCGGGCAACTCCCGCTCTGACGCTCGTCCTCCACGTACCGGCACAGCACGTCCTGCACAAGAATAGCGCCGTGTTAACACAGGAAGAGTAGGCTAGCGGTGGCTGTTGCACCGCACACAACAGAGGTGGTTCGTGACAGCGCACCCCGCCGTTACCCACCTGGAAGCGGTGCAGCAGTGCCGTGACGGCCAGGCGCCCGGCCAGACCACCTTCCGTGTCGCGGACGAGCTCGGGCTCCACGCCGTCCAGCAGCGAGAACTGCAGCAGCGTCTCGAAGCACGTCTTGGCGAACTCCTCGCGCAGCTTGAGCTCCGTCTCGGCGTCGTTGGTGGCAGGGGAGGGCGCGGCCGAGGCGGCGCAGGCGGTGGCCGAGTGGATCGAGCCCTTGTTGAGGAGCACCACGACGCGCAGCACGAACTCCTTCGGCACATGCTGAGAGTACGGCAGCACCTCGTCGCGGAGGAGCTCGATCACCTGGAAGCGCGGCGACAAGGACGTTACAGAGAGCGGACCCGAGGCCGGGGGACACAGAAGTCCAAGCCTCCTATTTGTCTTACCTGGCAGTCCACCGCCTCGTCGGCCTGTATGTCCTCGTTGGGGGGCGGCTCCTGGGGGAACAGGAAGTGATCCAGAGCGTCGGCCAGGACGGGCCACATGCCGGCGTAGTGCTTGGAGTACTGCTGACGCCGGGCCAGGGGCAGCCCCCGGTGCAGGGTGGCCAGGAGGCACGTCACACCCAGCTGCCAGGTGGACGCGGAGGGGCAGCGGTACTTGAGCGACAGCGGCACGCCCAGGGCCTCCACGACCTGCTGCAGCACGCTACCTTCCACGACGGCCGTCTCCTCGGCCGTCTCCTCGTACAGGGACACGACCAGGGTGAGCATCTTCTCGCCGAACGGCACGAAGCTCGATGCCGCGTCGCGCTGGACGTCGCCGCGCTGGCAGGCCAGCCGGCTGAACCACAGTAGCTGCCGGAGCAGCGCCGTAACCATGGCGCCCGAGTCAGCGGCCAGGGCGGCGAGCGCCTGCTCCTGCAGCAGCCGCACGCAGTGCACCACGCCCTCCTGGAGGGGCGACAGCGTCGAGTCCGAGGTCGCCGACGACGCCATGGCGGACGCGGGCAGGAGGAAGAGAGAGGCGTCGCCCTGGACCGGCACCGTCACCATGTGCCGCAGCACGGTGCACAGCCGCTCCAGGTCGTCGACGCCGAAGTCGGAGCGCACGTGGGCGAACACGGCGGGGAAGATCTGGATGAGGGCGGTGAGGAAGGCCTGCGAGGGCACGTAGGCGTCGTCCGGCGCGCCGCACGGCGCGGCCGGGGCCGTGCTCTCCGTGCCGATGCCCAGCCACACGCGCCACGCAACGCCCCACACGTTAGCCTCGTCCGACGGCGAGATGCCGTTGGTGCTCGGGGCGCCGCCGGCGTCCTCCGCCTTGCTGCCCTGCTTGTTGACGTACAGCACCTCCTGCAATCACCAGGGTAAAACGTCAGAGCCTCGCGGACTTGCGGTCGCACTTTGCATAGCACTCAAGCGCCGCCGAGTACCCACCTGGAATGCCTTGAGCGCCGCCAGCGACACCTCGTTGTTTTTGTTGAGCGCGGCGTGCTCCACGAACTCGAGCAGCAGCGACCAGGCGCGGGGGAAGTCGCCGAGCGACAGCAGCAGGGCGCGCTTCGTGTTGAAGACCCTCGCCACGCCCGACAGCGTCAGCACCTGGGTCTCGGCCCACTGCTTCTGCGCCGTGTTGCGCGAGTGGTGGATGAGGATGTTGCCGCCGGTGTCCACCTTCTCGCTGCTCGCCGCCCCGGAGAGACTGCGTACCTGCACAGAGGCAAAGAGGGGGAGTGAGCGCGATGTAGGGGGCTGTGCTGAGCACCGAGCAGGGGGTGGGGAGGCCTACCTTGTCCAGCAGCGGGAACAGCACCTGCCACAGCACGGGCTGCCAGGTGGGCGGCTGCAGCAGGCTGCCGTGCGCCGAGATGGTGGAGAAGAGCGTCTGCCCGGCCGACTTGCGCACAGCCGGCCGCGGGTCGACGCAGAGGTCGCCGAGCCGCGCGAACAGGCACATCCACAGCTTATCGAAAGGGGGCATGTTCGGCGTGCCCGGGAACTCGGGAAAGACGGTCGCGTCGCCGGACAGGGAGGCGCACAGCTTCTCCTGGTTCTGGAAGAAGAAGTCCGAGATGTTCCACATGAGGCCGACGGCCGTGAGCGAGATGTTGAGCTCCTGCGTCTGCGAGCCGAACTTTGCGGCGGTGGCCATGCACTGGGGCAGGCACCGCCACGGCATCACGGGGAGGAAGTCAGTCATGACGAGCTGCAGGCACTGGAAGGCGACGCGGATCAGGTTCTCGCCGTGGTGGTCCGAGACAGCGCCAATGATGCCCAGCACGAGGGGCCAGCCGTGCGAGAGGGTCTCGCCGGCGCCGTGCAGCGCGTGCAGCACGCACTCGAGCTGCCTCTGGCGGACGTCGCCGTGCGGCACGGCCGACAGCTCGGCCAGCGGGCCCAGCAGCAGCGTCTGCAGGCGCTGGTTGTCGCGCAGCGGCGGCGTGTGCTTGTGCTGCAGCGCCGCGCGCACCAGGTACGTGATGGCCTCCACGCCCCACTCGCGCATGCGGATGTGCGGGTGCTGGCACACTTCCAGCAGGTGGTTGGTGAGCGGCCGCCACAGCACCTCCACGCGGGGGAGGTTCACCAGCCCCGTCTCCAGCAGCTTGGCGACGGCGAACAGCGACGGCTCGCGGTTCGAGTAGGCCAGCTCCATGGCCTCGTGCGACAGCTTGCAGAGCGCGTCCACGAGGTGGTGCAGTGCCACGTCGTCCAGGTACTGGCTCGACTCGAACAGACGGCTCAGCATCTGGCTCAGCACGGGCAGGTCGGCCATGACGGCCGTCGTGATGACGGCGTTGGAGTCGGCCGTGGTGCGGCCCGCCTTGAGGCTGCCGCCCGTGGCCGGCTTCAGCCCCAGGATCCAGACGAGGTGCTGCAGCGTGGTGAGCACCAGGTGCCACGACGTGCCCAGGATGCTGCCGTGGCAGTGCGCCAGGCTCAGGAGCGCGCGCATGCACTGCAGGTTCTTGGCCGTGAGCATGACGGGGCCCTGCTGCACGCCGATGGGCACCGATGACGTGGGCAGAGGCGTGCCGACCGCCACCACTTGCTGGCGGTAGTCCGACTCGCTGTTGTAGTGGTGGCTGTACTGCTGCTGCTGCGTGCCCAGGTCCTGGCTGGCGGACGGCGAGTGGCCCCGGCCCGGCACGCCCTGGTGCGCGGCGTTGAGCACCGTCAGCGCGTAGTGCGGCGGCAGCGACGCCTTGCAGATCGCCGTGATGAATGCATCTCGCGGAACCTGAAAGAAGAGCAATTTTTAAAATAAAAATAAAATACGTCAGTGGAAAATTTAAAAACTGTCCACATGATTGTGCTTACATGAAGATCCAGGGCGCCGCAGAGGCTGGCAAAGGTCTGGATGGCCTTGAGCACATTCTCCGAGGCCGACTCATCCGTGCTGGCGTCCACGAGGGGGCTGAGCGCGGCGAGGAGCCCACACCAACTCGAGTTGATGAGCTGGGCGTGCAGCTGGCGGTCCTCCTCCGTGGGCGGGGCCGTCGTCCCCTCGGGCGCGGGGCCCTTGTCCGTCACGGTGTTGTCGTTCTCCTCGGCGGGCGGCCCGGGCGGAGGCAGGCCCTCGATCGTGATGGAGATGGAGCGGATGATCTCCAGCAGGCAGGCGTACGCCACGGAGATGCCGTAGCCGTCCGGGATGGAGGGGGGCTCGCCCTTCTCCAGCATGTCCAGGTAGATGGACTTGGTCTGGCCGCTGCTGTACGTGATGACAATGGGCAGCCAGACGCCCCTGGAGAAGAAGCCCGGCTGGGGGCTGACTCCAGGACCCACGGGCATGCCAGCGAGGAGCGAGGGCGGCTGGCCTTGAGCAATGGGCACCTGCCCACCCACGGTCGTGCCCTGGCCCATCAGCTGGGGGTTGACGAACAGAGACTGAACGTATGCTCCCAGAGAGTTGACTATGTCTTGGAAGATGTTGGTAGAGTGGGGCTTCAGGTCGTAGCACTCACAGAAGGACTTGAGCAGATCTGGGAGGACTACCATTTTATGGAGGACCTCCAGAGCTAGAGAGCGCTGCCAGGGAGGTTTGTCAGGGTCGAGAAACTTGACAATGAGTGAGAGGAATATTTCACACTCGGTAACTAACAGGCTGTGATATTTCTGAATTAGAATGGACACAACCCTAAGTAGACGCATGCTGATGGGGAAATACGGCTTGTCTAATGGGGTTGCTTGCTGAACACTTGCTGGCACAGAACTTCTGTACTTGATATTGGGGGAGAAAAGTTTGATCACTAATGCACACACTCGTTCTTTCAAGAGAAAGCTAAACTCCGGATGTTGAAAGAAAACAGAGGAAAAATTTGTTAGAACTGACTCTAACAATTCAAGGCCAAAAGTTCTTGTCATTTCAGTCATGCCCACCAGCCAGTAAGGTTGGTCAGCATTAACAAGTTGAACAAGATCCTGGAACATTAAATATGCATCACCAGCACATGGTCGCAAACCTTTAGGTGCATTATTACTTGGCATTTTCAATTCCTCCAGGTTCACTTCAGTTTTGCCAGCATCTGCTTCTCTAAATTGTTCATCTTCAGCCACAACTCTCTCAAATACAAGTGATACAAGTTGTCTAACTGTGGCTCCTGCTGTGTTTATAGTAGTTGAATCTTTTGTAAAATGTAGGCGGAAACATAGGACTAAGTTTCGAGCCAGCGTATCACCATGAACAACAGCATTTGTTGTTAAAAGTAGTGTGACACTTTGTAAAACTTTTACTTCTTCTGTTCCAGATTCCATTAACATCCATAATGTGTCAGTTATATATCGAGCACCTTTCTGGTCAACAGCTTGTTGAGTTATTAGTTTTTGAATCATACCTAGACATATTTTGACTATTTTTTGCTCTCTTGTTTCACAACCTTGTACTAAAGGGTATAATATTTGATTAACTATGTAGTAGATAGGTGTCTGGGGATTAGCCGCAGCATTCCTCAGTTTGACAATGCCCTCTTCACAAGCTTCTCGGATTTGTGGGTATTTCTTCTTCGTTTCAATGGATAGATTTTTCAAATCATTTTGAAGCACTTCGAGGAAGACATTGGCACCTTCACTTCCAGTTGTACCACTCATGTACGCCATGATGATGAACAGACCTCCTCAACGGATAGAAGACACTAAAAAATACAAAAAAAGGGAAATTAATTGTCACTGTTACTTGCTTCTGAACAGGGCTTTTACACACAATGACTGTCTATCTATAAACATTGAAACATCAGGTTTGCAATTTATGTTGAAATATATAAACATGGTACAAATGCTTTCAGAACTGGAAATAATTTGGCGTTGAGATAATAAAAGATTGAGATAAAGTCGCGAATTTATTTCAAGTCGACCTTCTATTTTGACAGACCGGAGAAGGGGATTCATTGATATCGGTACAGGTTGGGTGTCTGCACTCACATACTCAGTTACCTGTTTCTAAAAGATCTACTCACATCAGAAAACGAACGCTAACGGCCTTGATCGACAGGTTTTCATGTCATTTTAATCTGCAGCCCTAAAATATAATTGGAATGCCGTAATATCTTGAATTTGACATATTAGTTGTCTTGTTGTGACTTCCACGGATTTCTACTGCCACAAAATCACAACATCTCTGAGAAGTCAGTTCTAGTTGTGCGACAAGGCGGTGGCCGGAGAGTCATCAAGGAGACCGTGACTGTGCAAGTCTGCGCCTGCGCCGGCTGGGAACCGCGAAACTCTGGAACGTTTTAAAAGTAGTTATTTTTTCGGTGCGTCAACTTGGGAAATTTACCTAAAGAAGACAAGTTTCGTTTAAAGTCCAAGGATTGTTCCCACACTCCGTGCTTTCGTGCTGTGTCGTCCAGATAACCTCCCCAGCGACGCCGCGGCGGCGTGGTCCGTGTCCGTCCGTGCGGCCGGTACGGTCCGGCATATGTTCTTCGGAAAAAGTGTGTTTTAAAATTGATTGTTCGGCTATTACCTCAGAGACATTAAACCGTGTCGTTTGTAAACTGTGAGGACAAGTGATAAGTGATAAGTGCTCCACGTGGCGACAACCTCAAGATAGGACCACCACTTGACCGGAGCTGCTCTCCCAACGCGTCCTACGAATGGTGAGTTTTTGATCCCGAGTGGCGTTTTTGGTGACAAATTTGTTGGTAAAGTTCCCCTCATAGCCTCTCCCTGATCGCGGCCCACCCCCTTGCGGTGGCAGAGGGGTTGGTGAGGCTCGGGGCGCTACGTAGCTCACGGAGCCCTCAACAGATGGCGCGGGGTGGTCGAACGGACGGGGAAAGTAGTAGCAGAGATTTCTGTGCTGACTGATCCTTTTACTGTACGGCGTACTTTAGCTAACTCTTATGTTTTACCCGGCTAATATTTCTACTGGTAACTGATGTGCAGAAGAAAACCTTGCTCGGACCGTCTCCGATGTGTTCGCAGAGGCATGTGTATGTGTACACCCCCTCATCCTCCCCCGTTAGTCCCATTCGCAATAACATTACCGACGGCATGTCACGAGAAGGGCGTGCGTCTCCTCGACCAATAAATTGGGAGCACTGATTGGAATCATGGTCGGGGGCGCCCTCGTCAAAGTGCCACATCTCTCCTCTTTCTCTCTCTCGCACCTGTGGGAGAAGGGCACTCGCTCCACCGACGTAGCAATTACTCGCCGTTATGGTCATTCCCTCCCCCTCTTCGGCTCTCCCCCCCTTTCCAGCTGCCTCCTCTCGCTCATTACCCGCCCTCTGCTCTTTCCGCTCAGGATTCCAATATATTTTAAATATTTTCTCGCCCCCCCTCATTATTAAAGAATTAACAACTCGAGGCCGCTCGTTGCGG